GTAACTCCATGTGTAATAAGGTTTCTAATTTTGTTGTGTTTTCCCGAGTGTCGTTCAAACATGTTGCAGAATGGTTCAAATAGATGCAGGTCAGGACTCTGAGTGCTATTTGTTCTCAAATAATTGCAGGAAAAAGTGTTCGGTATGTCATGGTACATTATTATGCCTCCATATAAAACTTCTCCGTGCATGCAGTACACTGTGGTTCAGAATGTTACAATACGACAAGAAAATTGTGGCTTCTTTAACTATTACCAGCAGACCAAGTGTAAATCAAGTTCACAATATGAGATGACCACAACTCTTCATAGTTGGAATTATATGGTCATATTCAAAGTTTTCATTAGGTTTCATTAAAATCAGACTTATCTATTTGTAGCAAGAATTGTTGTGGTATATGATGATTATCCATTGTTTTTCACACCAATTTTGATGTTCAAACCCCACAAGTGCCAACGTCTGATAGTGACACCTCTGATGAGCGTCTTATGGACTGCAGAATGGAGCTTCATACTCTAGCCTACAGTCATGAACTATCGTTATAGTCTTGAGTGATGAATTCAATGGAACCTGAGTAGTGTGGTTTTACAGAACTTTTCGGAGGTCGCAATGATCAATCATGGATTGTCGAATCGATATTTTCCATTAACACATCTTATGGTCTTTATTTTAAGGACATCAGCGATAGTGAACTTAGTTGTAATGTTTCATAAATTTATACAATCGATGGTACATCCTATATAATCTTTTCTCTTTGAAGGCCCATGAACTCCTTTCCTTGTGTCATCCAATACAATACAATCCGTGGTAATAATTTAGGTTTAAGATCTTTCAAGCCTCATAGAAAGTTTGGGGCCTGAAAGAGAAACTGGGATGGTCAGAAACTTTAGTTTCTCTTCGCCCCACGCGGTGAAAAGGTTTAAGACAAACGGATGTGGTAGAAGCCGCTGGGCTTAATTTTGTTTAAACGCGGTGAGTGTATTGTTGTGAGACGCGGTAAGATGTTGAAAGATGCCAGCCCGAAGTCGCCGAGAAAGCCGTGATGGGACCTGCGAATGATAGCCGTGGTAGAAGCACGTGTTGTTGTTTATCCACGTGATGGTGACGTCAGTCGACTCGGAATGGAGTGGAGAGTTGCAGACTGAGTGAACGAGAAGCTGTTTGAATATTTTTCAAAAATATTGATTGATTTAAAGAAAATAAAACTTTGTAAAGTTAGAGTGATATTATACTTGAAGCGAGTCTGTAGGTGTTACAAGATTAACAGCCTATTTCAGAGGGATTGGGATAAAATTATCTGATGCCCTTAAACAATTTGATGCAGGGGGGAAACCGGAGTACCCGGAGAAAATCTGCTTTCTTGTATCAGGCGCCGAATAATCTACCTGACCCGTGCCCGAGATATGAGGCTGAAAATGAAAATAAGTTATTGACATATATTTTTAAGCACTATACTACTGTACGTTATGTTGTGATTTTATGTAATTAAGGCGTGATACGTAAGTTTGCCGTGTAGCAGGCGTGGCCGTTAGTGTCTGGAAGGCTCTAGTCTGACTATTGCGAGTGCTTACTTTGTTGTACTATTTTTCGAAAAATTTGTGAATTCGGTCTTTTATTAGTGGTAAATTGGTAAGATTACTGACGTATTCATGAGGGGTGTATATTGGTAGTCTAAATGTTGTTGTAGTAGCTGTGTGTTGTTACTGGCGTATCTTGTTGTATATAGTGGCAGACATGTTGCAAGTGACAGAACATCCATATTCGTATAGGGGTCTTATGAACGCTCTATATATTTTTAGGATAGAGAGGCCTCCAATACCACGTAAGTATGCTAGTCTTTTACTGGTGTTTTTGAGAATGTTGTTGAAGTGTGTGTTCCAGCTAATGCGCGAGTTTAGAGTCATTCCTAAGAATTTGACCATTTTCTTAAGAGTAATGGAGGTGTTATATATTGTGAGTTTAATTTTTCTGAGTTTTTGTTGTGTTTTCTCATACTTCTGTGAAAAGCTATGGCTTGTGTCTTGATAGGGTTAAGAACTACGCTCCACTTGTTGCACCAGTGAATAATAATGTTTAGCATTCCTTGAACTCTGGCTGATGCACAAGCGGATCAAGTGATGCACACCAGACCGCGATATCTTCTGTGTATTGAGAAGCTAGACTGTTAGCTAGATCTGGGAATGGTATGTCATCTACAAATAAGATATACAGTAGCGGGGTGACAACAGAACCTTGTGGTACTCATGCTTTTAGCGGAAATGAATTGGATATGGTGTTATTCACTTTAACTTTGGTGGTTCTGTTTCAGAAAAAACTAGATAAACATTTTATTATGGGAGTGGGTACATAACAATTAAACAGTATGAACCTTACGACGTTTGTGCCAGATCGAAGGCTTGTTTGATGTCTTAAAATGTAGCTATTTTGTGTGTTTGCGATGAAATCCTTGATATACTGACTCGATTAATCAAAGTAGATGGTCTGTAGTTAGTCTGTTTTCTACTGACATTTTGGGTATTGTTAGGAATATTATTGTTTTCTAAAAAGTGAAGTAATTGTTTAGAAATGATTTTTCCAGGAATTTGTCTAACGTGTTAAGAAGGCTTATAGGTGTATGATTAATAGGTAAATTAAGGTTCGCGTCGTTTTTTTTAGGGAGTACTTTAATTACTGCGGATTTCCTGATTGACGGCTAGTGACAGGATAATAGAGATAAATTGTACATGGCTACCAGGTGAGGTTTTTTTGTCGGTAAGGTTTTTGATTATGGAGTTATTGATACCGTCTTCCTGATTGACGGCTAGTGACAGGATAATAGAGATAAATTGTACATGGCTACCAGGTGAGGTTTTTTTGTCGGAGAGGTTTTTGATTATGGAGTTATTGATACCGTCTTCCTGATTGACGGCTAGTGACAGGATAATAGAGATAAATTGTACACGGCTACCAGGTGAGGTTTTTTTGTCGGTAAGGTTTTTGACTATGGAGTTATTGATACCGTCTTCCTGATTGACGGCTAGTGACAGGATAATAGAGATAAATTGTACGTGGCTACCAGGTGAGTTTTTTTTGTCGGTAAGGTTTTTGATTATGGAGTTATTGATACCGTCTTCCCCAGGGGGCGCTACGTTGGAGAGTTTTTAGCGTGATTTTAAATTTTGTTAAGGAAATGGGGCGGGTATGATAGTTGTGCTGGTTTTGACAGTTTAATATACTGACTGGAAATGATGGCGTATATAGTGAGCTATTTATGATAACATGATTAGTGATGAAATTATAATGTTGTCTATCAAAGGAGGGTTGAATGAGTTCGTGTAATACTCAGCGGAGCGTTTGGCTTTATCATTCATTGCCTGTGTGTGCCGTAGTATTGTTGTAACTAGTGTTGGCCGATAAACTGTTTGTGTCATTGTTGCATACTTTTTTAAACTTGCGCCAGAAAAGAGCGGGGCTAGATTTTGCTTCGTCGATTGATGTGCAAAACGTGTTTCAATTGTTCTGTTGTTGAATTTTGATAAGCTTTTTTTTTACTTGTTTATTGACATTATTGATAACTGGTTTGAGGGTGTGGTCTCGAGCTCTGACAAATAGACGTTAAGTTCTGTATTTCTGGCGCACGTTTCAAGGCATCAAGGTTCAGGATGACTGTTTTACTGGGGAGTGTTTCTTTGATGGACGCATTATTGAGAATATCAGGTAGTGAATCTTCTATCTATTTATTTAATGCTATGAAATCTAATTGAGAGTAATCGAGAGTTTGTTCGTGGGTTAATGGCGGGGCGGGTATTGTATTTGTTGAAGAAGATAGTTAGCCCCAAAGTACCAGGAAACTTATGTTCTATTTCAGTGATTTTCATAATACATATTCCAAAAAATGCTTGTCAGAACACGTTTACTTATGAAATGGGCAACACTTGCTAGTTAATTTTTGAAAAGTTTTTTGGTGTACAAAACTTGAAGATAGCTTTTATATGCGGAAACATCTGTTAGCTGAGTTTTTGCACAGATCTTCAAATATAACGTTGATAAACGGAAACATCGGCACATGTAGATATGTAGATCTTGAAAGTCGAGTTGTTCAAAACTTGAAAATAGCGTTGTTAACTGGATCAATTGTTGTTTGAGATGTTGCAAAGGAAATAATTCCTATACAATGTACACATCCTTCAGTAGGTCTGTGATATTTCCTGATCGGCTTAAGGACTTGCCAATCAGTGATTGCCTTACCGGCCTACGTTGATCTGACTGTACTATTTCCTATAGATCATTTTCCAGATGGTTCTACTATGATTAGTGTCTGGCGAAAAGCTTCAGCAGACATTTCCTATGCAACATCTCAACCAACAATTAAGAATTTTAAGATCTGTGCAAGAACTCAGCTAACACATGTTTCTGCATATAAAAGCTATCTTCTAGTTAATTTTCACTAAAAGAAAATTCAGTATATAAATACATTATTTATATCTTTCAGGGATGTTAGTAGTGTGCATTTTATGAGGATATCACCAAAAGCTTGTTTTTGTCCCCTAGTGTGAATTCAGAAAGGCCAGTTACCAAAGGTGGATATAATTGATTTATAACGGTTTAACATAAATGTTTTTAGAAGACGTAGAGATCAAAAGGAGTTGTATTTTCATGATATGAAAGTGTAATTCAAAGTTAAATTAATAATTATATACATATTTGTTTTCATACAGGTAAAAGAAAATAATAACTTCTTTCCCGTGTGAATTCTGACGGTAGTCTAAACCCTAACAAAAAAGGATTTCAATACTCAATCTATTTTTAAAGTGTGTTGAAATCAGTGAAAAAAATTAATTTACCACAGTGCTGTCGTCTACTTTTAAGTTGTGTCTAATTTCGTAGAGAATTAATCGATACTTTTTTGTTTTTATTTGCAATAAGTAAAATCTGCAGAGCGATATTATCAAATAGTTATTGTTTTCCCACAATTGTATAATAATATTTGTAAAACAACTACTATTGTATACTTTTTATAGGGAATCTTTGCATTTGCAGTATTTGGTTTTGATACGAAGGCTGTAGTTTTACCTGTAATAAAATGGTAAGTAGTAGGTTTACGTTTTATACCTCTTGTCTAAGTTTGAGACAATACAACTAGAAGTATTTTGAAAATGTGAAAGACTGAAAAGTCGACAGATTAATATACTTTAGGCAGGACTGAAGTACATTATCTGTGCCTTCAAATCTGTTAGATTTATTGTAATAATAATATCCTACCATTTTCGTGTTATTCTATTTCCACAAAACTTTTATTAGGAAACTGAACGTCATTTTTGGTATGAGTGAAACGTCACGTGCAAAACTATTATTACTAACTATGTTACATGTATCAGTATTCTATAGATAGGAAGTGCGTATTCTTCGTGTAAAATATTTTACAGTTTGTCTTTATTTTAGACATTCACGCACAACACTTAAAAGGTTTTTTCTGAATATGCTTTAAGGGGATGGAAGGATACAGTTGCGACAGCGGAAGTCACGTGACGCTGATGATTTTCTCGAACAATCAGGGAAGTCCGAGTGTGTTCGAGATGCCATCTTCGTTAGTATATAAGCCTGGCAAATAAAGCCAGCAGGGGGATAAATAAATGAAGACAGGGCAGTAGTTACTTTGAGTTCCGTGTAATTTATGATTCTGTTAGTTTCGAGCTAGTGAGCCGTAAAGTGTGTGTTTTGCACTCGTCGAGAGCGAAGTTATCGAGATTGTGAATCTCTGTGATTTACAGATTGTATTATAAAAGTTGTTAAGTTTAAAGTGACGAGAAACGTACTGATTGTGAAACGACTGTGTACTAAAAAGTTTGTATCGAGG